ACACAAGGCCCCGGTTTCTGTTTCAGGATAAGTTGGGGTTTTGTTTTTAGTAACTTCCCCCATTCGGTTAGAACGGTTTTTCTTTGGCCCCCCTTTATGTTTTTTTTATTGGAAATTGAAAATTTGGGGAATCCCCTTGTGACTATCTCATTTTGTCGGTCCGGGGGTCCACCATACATGTCTGAACCTCAATTATGTTTTGATCTGAGTAAAATTGTTTTTTTATATGGTGAATTTTTTCAATCATCATTGTTTTGTAAGATGGGGTTGTGTATTCTCCAGTTGAGGCTCTATTAAATTTTTTGGGTTTTAAATTTAATTTTGTGCAGAGGTTTAAAAAATGTGTGGGGTGAGTTTTAACGGCTGCCTCCCGGTGTTATTACGAACAAAATTATTTCTATATCCCTCCATTTTTTGGTGCTTAAATTGAAAAACCCCAAGCAAAATGTTGGTGCAGGCTGGAAAATTTTCCCCGACGTGGGCAATTTTTTAAAAGCTGTTTTCCTGGGAAATTTCGGGGTTTATCGGAGGGTTGTAGAAACCACAATGTGCTAAGGTGTGTAGTAGTGGGGTTTGAGTGGTGGTAGTATGGTGGTTTGTAGGTGGTAGTAGTGGGGTAGTAGTGGGTTTGGGGTAAATGGAGGGGTAGTGAGGGAGTAGGTTAGTAAGTGGTGGGATTGGGGTATTGGGGGGTATAGTGGGGAGTAAAGGGGGTAGTAATATGGTAATGGTGGTAGTAGTGGAGGAGTAATGTGGAGTAGTGGGGGTAGTAGTGGGGTAGTATGGGGGTAGTAGTGTTGAGTAGTGGTGGGAGAGTGGGGGTAGTAGTGGGGTATTTTGGTGGTAGTAGTGGTGGAGAGTGGTGGTAAAGTGGTGGTAGTAGTGGGGGTAGAGGGGGGGGGGGGGGGGTAGTAGGGGGGTATGTGGGGTATAGTGGGGGTATAGTGGTGGTAATAGTGGTGGGAATAGTGTGGGAATAGTGGGGTAGTAGTGGTGGTATATTGGGGTAGTATGTGGTGGGATTGGTGGGATAATGGTGGTATATGGTGTTTTAGTATGTGGTATTTTGTGTTTTTAGTAGGGTGGGATGGGGTATAGTGGTGGGATATGGTGGTAGAGGGTGGTATAGTGGTGGTAGTGGTGGTAGTGGGAGGTAGTAGAAGGGGGGTAGGGAAAAAATGGTTGTCTAGGGCAATTGTGTAAATTGCTACTAACAGATATGCAAGGAACTTGCAACCCCTTCATTGACTACTGGGAAAAACTTTTTTGGCAAACATAAAATGTATGCAAGGGATGGTGTACATCTCTCTGGGGCAGGGGTGGTAGCACTTGCAGACTCGATTGAGAAGGCCATTGGTGAAATGCCTATGATTTTAAACTGATGAAAGATAGAGGTATGGGTGTGTGTGGGAAACAAGCAGGTTGCAACACTAGGTTGGAAACAGTAAATGTATAAAAGGCATTCAGCATGAAGTTATAAATAAAGACAATAGATCAGGTCAGCAAACAAAGGGGGACAGCAGAGGGCAGCAAGGGACTAGCTCCCTTAAGGTTACTATACTAATAGCAGGAGTGTAAGAAATAAGATAGATGAGCTAAGATTAATTGCAAGTGCAGGAAACAGATATTATTGCTATAACAGAGACCTGGCTCAATCTGAAAGATAGAGAGATGCCCTCTGAATGTCACATACAAGGCTATAAATTATTCCACACTGACAGGGTCAACAGGAAAGTGGTGGAGTAGCGATGTATGTCAGAGACAATTTAAATTGTTGTGTTAGACAAGATATTAAATTAGAAGCATCAGCCACTGAATCTGTTTGGTTACAGCTTCTCGAGGGCCGAGAAAAACTAATTTTGGGTGTGATTTACAGGGCCCCAAATCTTGATAGGGAGTGCAGTAAACTTCTTTGGGACGAAATTCGTAAGGCATCTACATACGAAAATGTTGTGCTAATGGGAGATTTCAACTATAGACAGATTGACTGGAGCAATTTGACAGGAAATTTAGAGTCAGGTGACTTTCTTGATACGATCCAGGATTGTTTTTTAAAACAGTTTGTGACAGAGCCTACTAGGGAAATAACCTCCTTGACTTGGTTCTTGCCAGTAGGGAAACACTAATTAATAATCTTGAGGTTAATGATGAGCTTGGGGAAAGTGATCACAAATCACTCAGTTTTAATATATCATGGAATTCCCCTAATAATGGCAATCAAGTCTCCGTCCCTGACTTTCGCTTGGCTGATTTCATAGGACTGAAAAATTACTTAGGTGGGCTGAACTGGAATGACCTGACTAAGGGTCAGGTAGGTGGTGATGGTTGCCGATATGATGCGTTCCAGGGCATAGTTCTAGCTGCTCAGTCAAATTATGTTCCAAATAGGGAAATCAGATCAAACAAAAATGATCCTAAATGGATGAACAATAGATTAAAATATCTGATTGGTCAAAAGAGAGGCATATATAGGCAAATCAAAAGAGGAGAGGGGCAATTAAGAAATTGATATATTCAGTTAAAGAGAGAAATAAAAAAGGGAATTAGAAAAGCAAAAAGAGATTATGAGGTTAAAGTTGCAAGAGAATCGAAGACTAACCCAAAAGGATTCTTTCAGGTATACAGAAGTAAGATCAGGGACAAGATAGGCCCACTCAAAAGTTCCTCGGGTCAGCTCAATGACAGTGATAAGGAAATGTGTAGAATTTTTAACACATACTTCCTCTCAGTTTTTACACAGGAGGATACCAGCGATATTCCAGTAACGATAAATTATGTAGAACAGGACGAGAATAAACTTGGCACGATTAGGGTCACAAGTGACATGGTCCTTAGGCAAATAGATAAATTAAAACCTAACAAATCCCCAGGCCCTGATGAACTGTATGCAAGGGTTCTAAAGGAATGTAAAGAGGAGCTTAGCACACCTTTGGCTAACTCTTTTCAACATATCACTACAAACGGGCATGGTGCCAGATAAGTGGAAAATGGCAATGTGATACCTATTTTCAAAACAGTGACAGGTCCTTAGCTTCGAACTATAGACAATAAGCCTAACCTCCATAGTGGGAAAATTTATGGAATCAATAATTGCCGAGGCAGTTCGTAGCCACCTTGAAAAGCATAAATTAATCAACGAATCTCAGCAATGGATTTTACAAAGGGGCGTTCCTGCCTTACGAATTTATTAACTTTTTTCACTAAGGTATTTGAGGAGGTGGATCATGGTAATGAATATGATATATGTGTATATGGACTTCAGTAAGGCTTTTGACAGGGTCCCACATCAGAGACTATGAGGAAAATTAAAGCACATGGATAGGAGAAATTTTTTCCTGGATAGAGGCATGTTTGACAAATAGGCAGCAGAGAGTTTGCATAAATGGGGAGAAATCAGAGTGGGGAAGCGTTACGAGGGGTGTTTCCACAGGGTCAGTGTTGGGCCCCCTGCTGTTCACAATCTACATAAACGACATAGATGAGGGCATAAAGAGCGACATCGGCAAGTTTGCCGATGACACCAAAATAGGCCGTCGAATTCATTCTGACGAGGACATTCGAGCACTCCAGGAAGATTTGAATAGACTGATGCAGTGGTCGGAGAAGTGGCAGATGCAGTTTAATATAGACAAATGCAAAGTTCTAAATGTTGGACAGGACAATAACCATGCCACATATAAACTAAATAATGTAGATCTTAATATTACGGATTGCGAAAAAGATTTAGGAGTTCTGGTTAGCAGTAATCTGAAACCAAGACAACAGTGCACAAGTGTTCGCAATTAAAGCTAATAGAATCCTTGGCTTCATATCAAGAAGCATAAATAATAAAGGGGTCCTCAGGTTGTTCTTCAACTCTATACATCCTTGGTTAGGCCTCATTTAGATTATGCTGCACAGTTTTGGTCACCGTATTACAGGATGGATATAAATTCTCTGGAAAATGTACAAAGGAGGATGACAAAGTTGATCCCATGTATCAGAAACCTTCCCTATGAGGATAGACTAAGGGCCCTGAATCTGCACTCTCTAGAAAGCACGTAGAATTAGGGGGGATATGATTGAGGTGTATAAATGGAAGACAGGAATAAATAAAGGGGATGTAAATAGTGTGCTGAAAATATCTAGCCTAGACAGGACTCGCAGCAATGGTTTTAAGTTGGAAAAATTCAGATTCAGGAAGGATATAGGAAAGTACTGGTTTGGTAATAGAGTTTTTGGATGAGTGGAACAAACTCCCGAGTACAGTTATAGAGGCCAGAACGTTGTGTAGCTTTAAAAATAGGTTGGATAAATACATGAGTGGATGTGGGTGGGTGTGAGTTGGACCTGATAGCTTGTGCTACCAGGTCGGTTGCCGTGTTCCTCCCCTTAAGTCAATGTGACCTGACCTGACTAGGGTGGGTGCATTGGCTTAAGCCGTAGGAGACTTGGACCTGCCTCGCATGGGCCAGTAGGCCTTCTGCAGTGTTCCTTCGTTCTTATGTTATGTTCTTAATGGTGGTAGTAGTGGTGGTAGTAGTGGTGGTAGTAGTGGTGGTAGTAGTGGTGGTAGTAATGGTGGTAGTAGTGGTAGTAGTGGTGATAGTAGTGGTGGTAGTATGTGGTGGTAGTGGTGGTAGTAGTGGTGGTAGTAGTGGGTGGTAGTAATGGTGGTATAGTGGTGGTAGTAGCGGTGGTAGTAGTGGTGGTAATGGTGGTAGTAATGGTGGTAGTAGTGGTGGTAGTAGCGGTGGTAGTAGTGGTGGTAATGGTGGTAGTAGTGGTGGTATAATGGTGGTATAGTGGTGATAGTAGTGGTGGTAGTAGTGGTGGTAGTGGTGGTAGTAGTGGTGGTAGTAATGGTGGTAGTAGTGGTGGTAGTAGTGGTGGTAGTGGTGGTAGTAGTGGTGGTAGTAGTGGTGGTAGTAATGGTGGTAGTAGTGGTGGTAGTAGCGGTGGTAGTAGTGGTGGTAATGGTGGTAGTAGTGGTGGTAGTAGTGGTGGTAGTAATGGTGGCACAGCAGCAGCAGCAGCAGCAGCGTCAGTGCCGCCGCCAGCGCCGCCGCCGCCCCAGCTGTTCCATCATCCACCTCCCACATTTGGTCACAGAAACTGCTTCATTTTGAGTTTCTGGCAGAGTATAAGTGTGTGAGGCGTGGCCGGGGCCGCCACCATGGACTTCAGCTACCTGCTAGAACTGGCCAAGGACAACGACAAGTTTAACAAGCAAGAAGTAAGAAGAGCCCTCACCCTCTTTTATCTTCACTACGCTTTCTCACTTCATTTCCCTCTTTTCTGCCTTTTAAACTCAAATTTTCATGTTTTTCTGGTCTATAATTGCCTCCTTTTCTCCCATTTATTCATCTTTTGGGGTTAATGTTGAAGATGAAAGGTCAAAATTAATAACTAAATTAATAATGAGCCGATTTATTTTTCTCTACATTATAGTGTGTGATATAAAATATGTTGAGTATTAGTTTAAGGACCAAGATGATGGTAATGATTGTGTATGATGATTGATGTATGGTAGTATAGTGACCTTAAGTTAAGTTGTGGTGGGGGTCAGTGCTCCAATAACCCCATGTTCTTTCAAACCTGGTAGTCTGGGTACCAACTACACTGGCCAGTGGCCGCCGTATAACACCCCCGTGGGGCCAGTGTACGACCCCCTAGTGTTGAGTGTACAAACATCCCCAAGTGGTTAGCGTATGAACCCCCCTCGTGGCCGGGGTGCGAACGCCCTCGTGGCCGGGGTGCGAACGCCCTCGTGGCCGGGGTGCGAACGCCCTCGTGGCCGGGGTGCGAACGCCCTCGTGGCCGGGGTGCGAACGCCCTCGTGGCCGGGGTGCGAACGCCCTCGTGGCCGGGGTGCGAACGCCCTCGTGGCCGGGGTGCGAACGCCCTCGTGCCGGGGTGCGAACGCCCTCGTGGCCGGGGTGCGAACGCCCTCGTGGCCGGGGTGCGAACGCCCTCGTGGCCGGGTGCGAACGCCCTCGTGGCCGGGGTGCGAACGCCCTCGTGGCCGGGTGCGAACCCCTCGTGGCCGGGGTGCGAACGCCCTCGTGGCCGGGGTGCGAACGCCCTCGTGGCCGGGGTGCGAACGCCCTCGTGGCCGGGGTGCGAACGCCCTCGTGGCCGGGGTGCGAACGCCCTCGTGGCCGGGGTGCGAACGCCCTCGTGGCCGGGTTGCGAACGCCCTCGTGGGCCCGGGGGGCGAACGCCCTCGTGGCCGGGTGCGAACGCCCCGTGGCCGGGGGGTGCGAACGCCCTCGTGGCCGGGTGCGAACGCCCTCGTGGGGCCGGAGTGCGAACGCCCTCGTTGCCGGAGTGCGAACGCCCTCGTGGCCGGGGTGCGAACGCCCTCGTGGCCGGGGTGCGAACGCCCTCGTGGCCAGGGTATGCCTAGCATGGGTCAGTAGGCCTACTGCAGTCTTCCACTCTTATGTTTGTACATTTTATTTGTACTTTATAATAGCATAGATTTGTAAATGTAAGCCAGTAAGCTGTGAAAGCATTCAGTGAAACATAATGTACAGTGTATGTAGTATAAACTGTAAGTTAATTTTTAGAAATTCTAACATTTTGTATGAGTGACAAATTTTAGAGATGCAAATTTCATTAAAAAGCTGGGACAGTTTGCCTTACCTAAGTAGTCTGAATGGTGAAGATTTTGTTCACATTAATAATTCATCAGGTTAGTAACCCAGGATACTCAAAGAAAGCCAGTCAACATGGTTTATTTCCATGTGGATCCTTTGGTACTCTTCTTCAAGATGCAACCCACAACAATCAGTTAACACTCGCACACAGTCATGTGATGCTTAACAACGGGGATACATTCTGAGAAATGTGTCATTAGGTAGATTTTGTGTTGGTGCAAATGTTATAGTGTACTTGCACAAACCTAGATGGTATAGTCTACCACATACCTAAGCTATGTGGTGTGTTTGTTTTTTCATCATAGATTGGCTTGTAAGAACAAGGGAAAATGATGCTATCAAGAGGTGCAGTAAATAGCTAGGGATCCTTAACCTTGTCAAACCCTGTGTTTAAAGAAAAAAAAAAAAAAGACAAGATGTATAAGACTGCTGCCGGCATAATACAGTGGACCCTTGCCTAATGCTATTAATCCATTCCTGAGAGCTCAACATTAAGCGAAATTATCGTTAGGTGAATTAATTTTCCCCATAAGAAATAATGGAAATCAAATTAATCCATTCAGGACACCCCAAAGTATGAACAAAAGAAAATTTTTACCACATGAAATATTAATTTTAATACACACAAACTGAAGAAGACATGCACAGTTGCATGACACTTACCTTTATTGAAGATCTGGTGATGATTGATGGGATGGGAGGAGGGGAGAGTGTTGATGGTGTTAGTGTTTAGAAGGGGAATCCCCTTCCATTAGGACTTGAGGTGGCAAGTCCTTTTCTGGGGTTACTTCCTTCTTTTTTTAATGCCACTAGGACCAGCTTGAGAGTCACTGGACCTCTGTCCCCACAACATATCTGTCCATAGAGGCCTGTACCTCCCGTTCCTTTATGACATTCCTGAAGTGTTTCACAACATTGTCAGTGTAATAGTCACCAGTACGGCTTGCAATAGCTGTATGAGGGTGATTTTCATCAAAAAGGTTTCCCACTTTAAGCCACATTGCACACATTTCCTTAATCTTTGAAGTAGGCAACTTCCTCAATTTCTCTATCCCCTCCTCCAAAGCAGTTTCCTCAGGTGGGGCCTCTTGCTGTTGAAGATGATCTAGCAGCTCATCAGTGGTTAGTTCTTCATTGTCCTCCTCCACCAACTCTTCCTCATCCTCCCCACTAACCTCCAACCCCAAGGACTTCCCCAATGCCACAATGGATTCCTCAACTGGCATAGAATTCCCAGGGTTAGCTCAAACCCTTCAAAATCCCTTTTGTCTACACATTCTGGCCACAGTTTCTTCCAAGCAGAGTTCAAGGTCCTCTTAGTCACTTCCTCCCAAGCCTTACCTATAATGTTTACACAATTGAGGATGCTAAAGTGATAATGTGTGAGTGTGGTGAAAGTGTTGAATGATGATGAAAGTATTTTCTTTTTGGGGATTTTTTTTTTTTTTTTTGGGTCACCCTGCCTCGGTGGGAGACTGCCGACTTGTTGGGGCAAAAAAAAAAAAAAAAAAAAAAAGGTGATTTCTCCAAAACTCTCTTAGAGTCAATTGATTTTTTGAGGTCACTACAAAGTGCCTTTCAAACATAGCTTTTGTGTACAGTTTCTTGAAGTTGGAAATGACCTGCTGGTCCATGGGCTGCAGGAGAGGAGTGGTATTAGGAGGCAAAAACTTCACCTTAATGTAGCTCATTTCCGCAGAAAGTCTCTCTGCCACGTCTGAAGGATGACCAGGAGCATTGTCTAATACCAGGAGGCACTTAAGGTCTAATTTCTTTTCAATTAGGTAATTTTTCCAGTGGGGGCAAACGAATGGTGTAACCAGTCATAGAAAAAGTCCCTAGTGACCCATGCCTTACTGTTTGCCCTCCACAGCACACACAAATTAGCCTTGAGGACATTGTTTTTCCTGAACACACTGGGAATTTCAGAGTGATACACCAATAAAGGCTTCACTTTGCAATCACCACTAGCATTGGCACACACCAACAGAGTAATCCTGTCTTTCATAGGCTTATGTCCTGGGAGTGCCTTTTCCTCCTGAGTAATGTCGTCCTGTTTGGCATTTTCTTCCCAAAACAGGCCTTTTTTCGTCACAATTAAACACTTGTTCAGGTTTCAGTCCTTCACTGTCTATGTACTCCTTGAATTCCTGCACATATTTTTCAGCCGCTTTGTGGTCCGAACTGGCAGCCTCACCATGCCTTATCACGCTATGTATGCCACTACGATTCATAAATCTCTCAAACCAACTTTTGCTGGCCTTAAATTCACTCACATCATCACTATTGCAGGCATTTTTCTAATTAAATCGTCATGCAACTTCCTAGCCTTTTCACATATGATCGCTTGAGAGATGCTATCTCCTGCTATTTGTTTCTCGTTTATCCACACCAATAACAGTCTCTCAACATCTTCTATCACTTGCGATCTCTGTTTCGAAAACAAAGTTGCACCTTTGGCAAGAACAGTTTCCCTTTGATTGCCGTTTTCTTGCCACATAGTAGCGAGGGTTGTTTGGGGGTTTTTGTGTACAACCTGGCCAACTTGGAGACATGCACTCCACTTTCAACTTAGCAATGATCTCTTTCTCATATCCATAGAAATTTTCACTCTTTTTGTTGTAGGGTTGGCCCTAGAAGCTTTCTTGGGGCCCATGGTGACTTATTTTGCAGGTGCAATCACTAAAAAGGCTGTGATAATGAGAAATGTTCAAATTGTATGCTTGGAAGCGACCGCGATGGCTGGCTTGTAAACACTGGCACCCACGGAACAAGTGAGGCGGGCTCAGGCCGCACGTGGACGCGTCTCGAACAAACCGCGTTGAGTTTTTTTAGCGCTAGCCGAGGCAAAATTTTTGCGTTAAAATGTATCGCTAGGCGGTTTTAACGTTATGCGATGCGTTCGTTAGGCGAGGTTCCACTGTACTCCATACTGGTTTTACAATAAACCTTTTTATGAGTAGAAAGATTACACTCTGGAATGACAATAAAAAGTATAGTACAGCCTCTCCTCGCTTAGCGACGTACTCATTTACCAATGTCTTTCTCTGGCCAATATGCATACTTAAATAATGTATATTAGAGCTGATTTCCTCTTATTCTGTTTATTACAATATACAGTACACAAACTGTATAAACATTTAAACATATACCAGAAATGTTATAAATGGTGCAAAGGTGACATTAAAACAATGGTTGACACAAACCCCAACTACCATTATAAAACGTATATTTCTTGCTTAGCAACGAATTTGTTCACCGATGTGGTCTCAGGAACGGAACCCATCATTAAGTGAGGAGAGGCTGTATAGTAAATACAGTACAAAAAATCAGTAACATAGTTGTTTATCATTATCAAGCATTATTTGCTGTACATTGTATTTTTCTATACTCTTATACGATTGGCAGCTCAATAGGTTTGTTCACGCCTTCGTTGTATATGTGGTCTGTCGTTGACTGAAACGATATGTGGTGCATGACTACTTATTGCTGTTTGGCAAACAGAAGCAAGAGGTGTAAGTAAGCCTAGTTCAGAATCTCCACTCTCCAGAATTGAACCACCACTGACCCACTA